TCCTTTTTTTGAGAGAAGCGCTTGAAGGACACGCAGCGTGCAAGAGAGATCAAAATGCTTGTCAAATAAAACTTTGTTTTGTCAAAGTGATGACCTAACAGTTTGCTTAGACTTTCATTTAAAACTAAGCAAACAAAAAATCCCCACCATTCTTTAGAATTCAGAACTGATACACTGCTGATTTTCTAGTCTGAGCAGAACTGCTATGTCTCTTTATTAATATTTTTGTTATACATAAATAGTAACTGAACCAATAAGACTGTTCAGATTATTGACAGTAGTGAAGCTGAAGTCAAATATCACACTGAAGTAGTAGGCAATAAATAGCATCCTTTACTAGATGATTGAGGAATAGACGATCAAGTCTGTCTAAATTTGGGTAGGGTTTGGTTGTGACAGTACAGCTAGCTCTGACATTTTATATGCAGCTGTCACATGAAATATTTAATGCTGCTTGCTCCTGTCTAAAACTTTCTAAATCAGAGTTAGTTCTCATTTTGCTGTATGGACAACTTATTCACACTGAGATAAAGGAGGAAATTTTCCAAACGCATCCATCAGAAAGCCTGGCTGAATTCTGCATTCAGGAGTGCAAAAATAATGAATCTCCTTTCAGTATGGGGCAGTGAGTAAGGTGTAATTTTCTTACATACTTCACAAAGATTATTAGGCAAGCTGCAGGCATTTTAGCATGCAGTTAAAAAAAAAAATCAAAGCAAACGCAACTGTTTATATTTTCCATTAAAAAAATATAGGAATGCATCTTCCAGGAACTCATTGTTGATGTTAGGTACTCTGTAACAAATGACTTTTTTTTTTTTTTAATGTTTTATGAGTGTGGTTATGTTACTGAGAGGGCTTTCATGTGAATTCTAGGTATTTGGTACACGTGAATTCCAACACCATAGAGAAACATGCATATCTGACCCAGGAAAAACTGTGTAGAAAATGTATTGTAAAATAATTAAATTTTGATACTGTGACTCGCCCTGACACTGACCTGCTCAGTCAGTCAGACGTGGCGATAAAAGAAAGAGCACTTCACAAGGTAATGTAAATTAAATGCTGTAATAATATTTCGTATCATTTCCAAAATGGCTGTTGAATGCAGGGGTATATACGTTGTTCAAATTGTTTGAATAAAAATATTACCTCAAAGCAAATTACTGTAGTTTCATTAATAAAACTCATCTTTAAGCTTTTGTCACCTATTAGTGCTTAAGTGCATAATTAGATATTTACAGATTAAGTGTTAATTTGGTTTATAAATGCTTCAGCTGTCACAATAAAAAATGACTTTTGTACTGGTGTCTCTGTTTTTTGTTCATATTAGCATACTGATATGGAACTTCCATGGCAGCTCAGGGTCTGAGAACTATTGCTACTCTATAAAGAAAGTTGCAGGTTTATAAAAAATAAGTCTTTTGCTTGGACGTTAGCTGAAGACGGCATTAAGCAATCTTAGATAGATGTTGACAGGCCTACTCTATTCCTTAACTACTTAATTCTACAGCACACTAGCTTCTGTTGGTGCCAACACCACCATTCAACTGTGTGTTGGAGGAAGGGAAGTCTTGCCACATCAGTAGCAGTGCTGGGGAGGAGGTGGGCAACTTTTGGCAGCCAGTCTTAAATTGTCTTGAGCCTATCATGAAGCTACATATTTGGTTTAATAGGAGGAATAACCTAAAGGCATTGCTATACAGTAGTCAAAGTATAGGAATATGTAGTTATACTGACATCAAATAATGCTTTAAGTTGGAAGAAACCTCTGAAGGTCATCTAGCTCAACCCTTGGCTCAAAGCCAGGCTAACATCAAAATAGATGATGTTGCTCAGAGCCTTGTCCAGTTGAATCTTGAAGATCTCCAAGGCTGAGTTTCTACTTTCTTTATGCACAATTGGTTCTAGTGCTTAAACTCTTCCATGGGAATAGGTTCCCTGCCCACCCTTATTTCTGTGAAACTGCCTGTGGGACAGCTTCTTGATTGCCTTGCATCTTTTTGTTGTGTACCTCTGAGAAGTTTGCTTCTGTCTTTCTGCAGCTGTCTTAAATGGGTTTTATGGAGAGGACAGCAATTAGACCCACATCCCACCCCCCACCTACCTCCCTTCGGTAGCCTTGCCAGGATTAAAAAGCCTAGTTCAGTGTAGCTTTTCCTTGTATACCGTGTGCACCAGCCTCCTAATCAACTAGGTGACCTTTTACTGTTTTTTGTCTAGGTTATCAGTGTCTCATTTACTGGGTGCTGAGGTGGGGAACAGTATACAGTACTTAGATTATAGCATCATGAATGCTGTCTGCTGGGAAATAACAGCTTCTTTTGACATGTTGACTGCAGTTTTGCCAGTGCAGCAGTGGTAACTGTTGGCTGGGGTCAACTTGAACACTCACACAGCTTCTTGATCACTCTCCTCTCCCTCGAGATTCAAAAAAAATAAAAGGAAGGCGATAAGATTTGTGGATCAAGATAATGACACATTAATAGAGAAAGCAAAAGCTTGCACACAGAAGCAAAGCAATCAGAGGAATTAATTCCCTGCTTCCCATTGAGGGGCAGATGTTTGGCCACTTCCTGGGAAGCAGGACCTCAGCGTGCATACTGGTTGTTTGGGAAGATAAACACCATGACCACAAATGTCCACCTTTCCTCCTTCTTTCCCTGAGCTTTTACTGCTGAGCACGGCATCATGTGGTATGGAATATCCATTTAGTCAACTTGAGTCAGTTGTCCTGGCTATGTTCCTTCTCAACCTCTTGTCCACTCCCAGCCTACTTCCTAGGGGTGGGGACAGAGTGGAAAAAAGAGAAATTATGCTGTGCATGTACTTTTCAGCAATAGCAAAAACACTGGTGTGTTATCAACACTGGTTTAGCCACAAGTACAAAGCACAGCATCATATAGGCTGTGAAAAAAGTTAACTCCATCCCAGCAGACCCAGTGCAGTAGCCCAGTATGTGGTTGACCTTCACTGTTACAAGGGCCCACTACTGACTCTTCAGTTCAGGTTGCTGATCCCCACAGTTGTTTTCCAAAAGGCGGTTCCCTAACCCATTAGTCCCAAGTCTGTATTGTTGCTTAGGTTATTATGTGCCACTTGCAGGACTTCACATTTGTCTCTGTTCACTGTCATGAGACTCCTGTCAGCTCAGTCCTCCAGCTTGTTGAGGACCCTTGGAATAGCACCTCTGTTTTCCATCACTGTGACCACTTACTGGCCTCCCGGGCTGATGGCACCTGCAGACTTGATGTGAGTGCATTCCATCCTGGCTTTCGGGTCACTGATGAAGATGTTAAACTGTATTAGTCCAGTATCATCTCCTGAAGATTTGAAGGCTCTTCTAACTGGCTTCCAGTTAGATTTTAAATCATTGACCACAAACCTTCAGGTCTGGTTGTCTAGGCAGATTTTCAGACACCTTGAAGTTGATATTTATCTGATTTGGTACAAGGATATTATGGGAGGTGGTGTTGGAAGCCTTATTAGAGTCAAAGTAAATGACATCCATTCTTGTCCTTCATTTCCAAAACTAGCTGTTTCCTTACGAAGAGTTATTGTTAGGTGCAGTTTGCACTTTGTAAATCCATGCTGGCGATTCCAAGTCACGTTCTTTTCATTAATGTGCCTGGAAATGACTTCCAGGAATATTTGCTGTGTAGTTAGTCTGAGGATCAAGGTGAAACTAACTGTCTCATAATGCCTCAGATTTCCCTCCTTGCCCTTTTCTTAAGATGAATACAACCTTTGTGAGTGGCTTCCAAGGTTATACTTGCTTCTGCAAAACTATATTGAGGAAGAGGAAATGTAAGAGAGAGAATTCAGCAAAAGTCACAGATGAACTAAGAGCATGCTGTCTAAAAGGATTAGATCACAGCTCTAAGTTCCGTAAATTTTACAGAGAGGAGCAGACTGAAGAAAGTGAAGGTAAAGTAAACTAAGGTTGTTGAGGTGGCAAAAACCATTTTTTTTCATCCCATTTTGTCGTCTTCCTTTTTTTCTTCCCATTTGCTGACAGACCTACTAATATGTTTTTTTAGTATGCTCTGTATTTTAACTTAGCATGCTTTTTTCTTTTTTTGTGTGTGTGTGCGTGTTAAGCATTGAGAATGGTATCAGTGTGTCTGGCAAGCCTCATGCAATCTGTTCCAACAACAAGTATTCTGACTGCGTTGGCTTATTCTTGCAAGGGCCAAAAGATAGTTACAAGGATTAGAACCCTGAAGAGTTTGAAGATGTTTGTTTGCAACACTGAAGACCGTTAATACATCGAGAAGGACTTGTAAAGGAGGTTTTTGGTTAGGTGTTGATTAAAAGGCAGTTGGAGGAATTGAGCTTCAGACCCCTTTGAAGTTGAACAACGATCATCTGTTTCCATTAGAAACACCAGCAGACTGTGTAAAGATTATGCTCACTTCTGTAAAAAGAAAAACAAAGACTTTTTAGAGCTGAACGATTTGTTCTTAAAATATCTTGATTTTGAAAATTCCAGCTCAAGATACTTACATTTTTATATTAAAAATTAATATGTAACGAGTCTTTTTAACTACTGAAGTCGGTCTCTTCTCCCACGTGTCGGTCTCTTCTCCCACGTGTCGGTCTCTTCTCCCACGTGTCGGTCTCTTCTCCCATGTTGTGAATGACAGGACGAGAGGGAATGGCCTCAAGTTGCACCAGGGGAAATTTAGGTTAGATATCAGGAAGAATTTCTTTACAGAGAGGGTTGTGAAGTATTGGAACAGGCTGCCCAGGGAGGTGGTGGAGTCCCCATCCCTGGAGGTGTTTAAAAACTGTGTGGATTTGGTGTTGAGGAACATGGTTTAGGGACCCTGACAGTGCAGGGTGAATGGTTGGACTTGATCTTGAGGGTCTCTTCCAACCAGATGATTCTATGATTCTGTGAAGGTTTTTATATTGGTTAGGTATTTGAAGTGTAGGAACTAAATGTATTTTCAAAGATTAATTAAAGTCTAATGAATTTTCACACATTTCTTTTTCAGGAGCTGGTGAATCAGGGAAAAGCACAATTGTCAAACAAATGAAGTAAGTATGGTGAAATACTATTCAAAGAGACATATTTTTTTCTTATTTGAATAGAGAATTTATTTTTTTTGCTTCCCTAGGATTATCCATGAAGCTGGTTATTCAGAAGAAGAATGTAAACAGTACAAAGCCGTTGTCTACAGTAACACCATTCAGTCCATTATTGCTATCATTAGAGCAATGGGGAGGTTGAAGATAGACTTTGGTGATCCAACTAGGGCTGTGAGTATTGAAGTACACACAGATATATATAGCCGAAATATCCATTCATTTTCAATTTTTGTCTGTTGCTGTTTCATGAAAAAGCTCTTGATATCCAAAAATCTTCGTTATAGGTTACAAAGTTTGATACATTTAGCTTGAAAACTAAATGCCATTGGTCTTCATATGGCAACGTGGCCTACAGAGCAGTCAGCACTGGGTTGATTGACAACAACTATTTGGTTTAGATACAATTCTCCAAATTCCCTCTAAATTTGGAGAACTAAACATCTGAGTCCTAGGGAGTTTTTGAAAAACATTGAACCGTGCAGTCATGTCTCTTTATTTGTATGGACTTGTGGGCAAGTAATTCTGCAAGTAATTTAAGTTAGACATCTTCATGTTCCTTAAAAAAAAACCAGCTTAAATGGGTAGGCATCTAGCTACTGTCTACACTTCTCAACCAGATCATAGGCACAGTGGTGCCTAAAACATTTCCAGCCTCTGAGTTTTATTCTGTTTCGTACTGATTTCCAATGTGGAGGACTTTGTTTTACTTGAAGCAGAGACATGGACATAGGCCTGCAGCTGTTATTTCATTTTTTCATGATGCCATACGGATTAAGGACTTTTCTCAAGTAATAGAAGAACTTTTTCTAAGCTTTTCTGCACCTTTTCCATCTCGTTTCATCTAATGTCTTGCATACAAACCTCTGATGGGTCTATTTGCTGTTCTTCCTATTGAAACTGGTCTGCAGAATTGATTCTTTTGTCTTATTGTTTCTCCAGTCCTAACCCTATGCTTTTACCTGTGGTGAGCCTGATTAAGTCCATGTCTGGTCAGAAGGCTCTGAATCTCTCTGTAAAATGTTTAGCTTAAGTGTTTTTGCTTGTCCCCTGGTTACAGGAATCTACTCTGTGCTGCAGTGCTGAAATTGGTCACCAGCGTTGTTAGTCTGAGTAACATTGAAACTTAGTTCGGGATGCGTGCCTTTATTTTCTCACCATAGAAATCAATGTCAGAATATGGAATGCTCACCACTACAGTGAAGCAGGAACTAGCCACATTATGGCTGTCTCACAGGAAAGATAGAGGGAGATTTTTTTTTCTGTTTAAGTGTTGAAATAAGTATGTAAGGTAGTCAGAGGGATATTTTGTTATAATTAAGTTCTTTCTGTCATGTTAAAGTTGAATTACAATTTGAGGGGAAAGGAGAGTCTTGAAAAATAAGAAATGGTATGTAAAGTCTTAATTGATGATAAAGTCTTGTGTTCAAGATCTTATTGATTGCTTAAAAAGCAATTTATAAATATTAGAGTATACCTTCAGTGACCTTATGGTTGTCGTAAGGAAGGCAAATGTTCACCAAATTACATAAAGTGAGTCATAAAGTTGTATCTGAAATCTAAGTCTGATTGACAGTCACGTGAGTTATTAGTTAATTTTCATTTTGCTCTTTGATAGTCATTATTTTTATGTCCTGTACATATGTTAATTCTACCTGAAACCTCTTTAAGTATAAACATAACTAGTAAAAACTTTGTTTTCATTGGTTATTCCTCTTTACATTTGTTCTCATATTTGCTGTTGTCTTCCCTTAAGACCAAAGTTTTCCAGGGCAGCAGCAGTATCTTATCGTGTGTTAGTTCAGTATTTTTGCAGTGGAGTCCTTTCTGGAGTCTGGCAGTTAATGTTGGAGAGAGGCAGATGGTAGACTCATGTTACTAAATACATAGTAAGAGAAAACAGAGGAGGAGTAAATTCAGGCGTTAGCAGATAAAATGACTAACAAGAAGATTTTGAGAGCTATTTTGTATATGATATCAATTTGAAGTAATCTGAGTTTGTCGACTTCAGAGAGCTATATAAATGATAATGCAAACTTTTGTCATAATCTTAAAAATAACTGTTCATCCCTTTGCTCTAGGCAGGTCTTAGTGGTGAGTTTGTTTTTCAAAGCAACACTGCTATGGAATGTCATTACTAGATTTTTACCAGTTGTAAAGTTAGAAGCAGAAAAAGGAATTCAGAGCTTGTGTTATACATCAGTCTCACATTTAAAAAAATGTATAGTTACTCCTTGGTTATTATAGTATAGCCTTTTTAATTTTATTCTGTTTTGTTGTAACTTTGTCATTTTTTGGCAAAAACACAAAGCTCAAAATAGCAATTCCTGAGGAAAACTGTTATATTCGGACTCTTCCTTAAATTTTGAGGGGAATTTGTGAGGGTTTTACTCTTAACATTAAGTTCGTTTGGAAAATCATATAATTCTGTTGTAAGACTAATGGTAAAGCAGTGAGTGAGTTGAACTTTTTTTAAAGCTATTGAATCAAGGGAGCACGGATGACACCAGCAGCTTCAGTAGTGGTCAGTCTCAAGACTGGTATATCTTCCTTTGTCCTACAGGATGTTTCAGTACTATAGTAGAAAATATGTTTGGAGAGACATATAGTGAATGTGCTTTAAAGGAATATGGACCACTTTCTGAATATGACTTTTGCTGTAATTAGCTAGAGAGATGGTTAAATTAGTTTCTTTACATTGTCTCATTTATGAAATGTGGTATAAAAATAGCCAAACCTAGAAAGGAAGCTGCCCCATTCCAGTGTAATTAAAGGAAAGTATCTAGCATTGGTTAATAATGAAAATAGGACTCAATCATTGCATGCCACCTCTTTTGTGTTGTCTGTAGTACTTGCCATCCTTTGAAAAGGGAGCATGGGGGGTAACAGAGACCACTTTTTATTTTAATGTTTGGGCTTTTAAAAAGCTGAAATTGATTCTCTTGTTCCGCCTCTCCTTTCCCACTCACCACCTATTTCAGAGCATGCAGAGATTAGAGCTATTTGAAACAGAGTAAATTTTGTATGTTTGAAAGTCAGACCATGTTAGGTATAAAATGATATAATACTTCATGACAAGATTGACTGTCAGTTTCCAAGGTGTTTCCATCATATGTCTTAATATATTGGCTCTTCTTCAAGATCTGCTGCTTCTTTGAGTTGTAGATCCTTGGCATTTGCATCTACAAACAATAATCGAGACCAGAATTGTAATTCGGGTTTCTTTTATGCAAGCGTATTGCTCAAACTACAGTCAGTGAGATCTACCCATCCAACCCTTTGATCTTTACTGCTCTGCTTTTTTATGTAATTATTAGTGCAACCCATTGAATTTTCATTTGTTGTCTGCAATTTGTCCTGTGCATGTACAGTAATCAGTATTCTGTTAATTTGTTTGACAAATGTTCGTTTTTAGATTTGTAGCTACTCTGACTTTCGAAAGACTGAACTGTATATCAGTTACCTGTTGTTTGTATGTATAACTACATATGTGTACATATAGATATAAATAAATCTCTTCAAGTTTACCTTGAGCTGACTGATCTGCAAGCTTTTTATTTTTAGCTTGTCAATATCAGTATTACTCAATCCAGCTGCAAACAATTTCCCTGTTAGCTGTCATAATCTTTAATTATTGAAGCCTACAGCGGCCAATATCTTCAGAACAACCACTACTTTCTCTGCTTATCCTGAGAAGGTGTGGGTTTTTTTCCACAGCTTATTGTTTGAACAGCAAAGGTGACAGAACCCGATTTTTCTACAGATTTGTATCTGTATCTACACTTACTGTTTTGTGAGAATAACCTTATATGTTGCTTGTTTTAATCCTCCTTTTTCTTGAAATACTTGCAGTTCCCAGCTGATGTGCCTAAGTCCCTTTTTTCCTTCCTCCTGTGCTCTTTCTTTTAATTATTGGACAAACAGTACATACTGTGGGTAGTAGTTAAAAGCCACAAGTATGCTGGTTTTTCTGGCTGACATACCCTGGCATTAGATCGCATACAACTAATAACCAAGGTCAAGCAGCTACTCACAGGAGAGTACTAATGTGGATCTCTTTCCTCTGCGCAGCTGCTATCTTGTTTTTCCAACACCTTACAGGTCTAATGTTTTAAAGTTTCTTTCCTCAGTCAAAATTAGATAAAGGTAGCCAACTGATCAAATTCTGTTAAAGGAGTCTGGTATACAATCATTATACATAGTCTTAAAATCCAGCATTTACTGTCTTAAAAATCTTGATGTTTATTTGGTATGGCATTACTGAGAAAAATTGATCTCTATAAAGTAATTAAGGCAATGGATATTTGTAACTGCTTTATCTGAAAAGGTGTTAAGAAGTATTTTTGTATCTCCTGATGCACAGTTTGGGAATAAATAATAATTTGTCACTTTCAAAGAAAGTTGTTTTTTGAAGCTTAAGTGATTAATGTGTTTTCTTCAGTCAATCAATACACATTTGCTTTTCTGAAGGTTCTAGTATCCGTTGTAACCATAGAATCATAGAATGGTTTGGGTTGGAAAAGACCTTAAAGTTCATCTAGTTCCAGCCCCCATGCCATGGGCAGGGACACCTTTCCCTAGATTAGGTCAGTTTGTGGTATTTGAGAAGTGAATAAGGTTAACTGGAGACTTGAGCTCAAAATGTGTTACTGCTTTGGTTTAGAGAAGCTTAGTTCAAGTTATAAACCAACCAGAAGAAGCTTTATCAGCTAATGAGGAATTTGGTTAACTAGTCTTGCTGTCGTCAAAAAATGTGGGAATTAATATCCTATGCAGGACAATAAACCCAGTGGTTTTCCTTCACATTTTTCGGTTGCGTTCACGTTTACTAGGTTAAGTAACTAACTCATTTGCTGAATAGAGTTCTTAGGTGATAACACTTCTGTTGTATTTCTCAATGTTTGTCTCTCCACTTCCTGTTTACATCCTAAAGGATGATGCTCGGCAACTCTTTGTGCTAGCTGGAGCAGCAGAAGAAGGATTTATGACTGCAGAGCTTGCTGGAGTTATCAAGAGACTATGGAAAGACAGTGGAGTTCAAGCTTGTTTCAACAGATCTAGAGAATATCAGCTTAATGACTCTGCTGCCTAGTAAGTACTATGTGACAAACAAGACTCTCTTTGTCTTGTAAGTGGAAGTACAGAATAGAAGTCTTATTTTTTGAGAAATCCTGCTCCCACGTAGATGGAAAATTTAGAAGTATCTGGACAAAGATATTGTTTACTTGGGTCAAAATGCTGCAGCTAACCTTCAGGGTTGGAGAGGAAGAGGTGTGGTATAATCATGAATTTGAGTCGTGTTCTGACCAATTGTTTCATTTCTCTTGAGGAAGACAAAACTTGCTTTAAGGTACTTTGATATGTTACATAGCATGTTTTTATTACAAAAACGTAACTCTGGTACCTGTTAGTATCTGGACGTGTCCAAGAAGCTTGATCACATGATGTGAACCTGTATTACCAAGGATGCTACTTTCATGTTTATAATAGTTTTCTTCTGTGGTTCAACATTGCTGCATTTTCTTTGTTAACTAATGGTCTCCGTTAGAAATGTATTGAGCAAAGGTAACAAACAGGATGTGTCTTCTATGCTAGGGTACTTCATTAAAAAATAAAACAGTAAGGAATCAAGGGTGTGAGAAATAAGATGTGATTGCAGCAGGTGAAGGGAAGTCAGTCAAGGAAGAGTCCATTGAGGGAGAGGTAAGATGGTAACAAATGGTATGGCAGTGATATTGGCCTTACAGGGCAATTTTTTAAAGGTGAATTGATTTGTAGTGTTTGAAGTTGTTTTTCACTTTCCTTAAAATAAGGTATTTCTATTCATTAGAATAACTGTACATAAATAAATAACATGCAGGTAAGGTAACCGTGAGAAGACTACAACTGGAGTAATGTAATTAAAGGCATGCTGAATGAATAGAAATGTAATCAAATTGTATTGAAATGACGCTGATACTTCCAGCATGATTGTTGCTTGTTTGCTGAAGTTGTTCTAAGAGTACAGAGGGTAGATGGCAACAAGCTGAGCTCACGATGACACATCTTGTGACTTGTACAAATTTTCTTCAGTATGGAGCACTTCATTTGAAGTATCACTTACTTTGCTCTGGTAACCTCCTCTGTTCTATTTTGTTGTTTTAGATACCTCTACCTCCAGTTTCATATGAAAACTGTTCTTCTAGCCATACAATTACATCTTTAAAATTGCTAACTGCTGGTTAGACTGAAAGAACAACATAATGCCTTCCCTATTTACTATGAGAAAAGCACAAATAAGTTTTGTATGGTTTTTAGAAACACTGGGCTGCTTGGCCTGCATTGCAAGAGTTTTGGCAATGAAAGTATACTATTGTAAAAACTGTGTGCAATTAGGAATTCTCAATAGAAGGTTAATTGTTATGCATTAAGCATTTTCATAAACACATTAATTCTGGCCAAAACACTGGGTTATCCTTGTCATACCCATTATCAAATCCTGCGTAATTTTGGGCTTTGATTATAGTTCAAAGAAACTTGTAGTTCAGTAGGTTACAAAGATGAAGGTGGTGTTCTAGTTCGTGCAAATAACATTGGCGTACGTGGAACCACGTTTGCTTTTTGGGATTTCAAAAGAAGAATTCTTTGCAGTGGAGTCAGTTGCATAGGTTTTCTTTCTTCTAGGATGAAATATCTTCATGTCTCTAAAGCTTATTTCAAAAAACATTGGAAAATTGAGGGAAGTAATGTGTTGTGTCTTGTCTTTTGTCTTCAGAGAAAGCTATTCTATAAAAGTCAAGCACAATATAACGAATGCACCTAGAACTTCTGTAATTCTTTGTGATTATCGTGTTACTATTTTATGAATAACTGAAAGCAGTGTTTATTTTTTACCTTCAGTTACTTGAATGACTTGGACAGGATAGCACAAACCAGCTACATTCCAACCCAACAGGACGTTCTCAGGACTAGAGTGAAAACTACAGGAATAGTGGAAACTCACTTTACTTTCAAAGATCTTCACTTTAAGTATGTAAATCATACTGCATGTGCATGTTCATCTGTCTGTTATGGTTTCTGTAAAGTTCTAGAAGATGGACTTTCAATGACGTAATATAACAAATTTGTCTAACCACAACTTTCATTTCCAGCCCCTTTTTTCTGAAAAAAATTCCTCATGCTTGACTAAATTTTTTGAAGGGATGAGGGAGTGGTTGGAACTCCTGTAATAACTCAAAATAAATATGCAGATGTTAAGTAATAAATGCTTTGGTTTTATTGGAAGCCTTTTGTAAAAGTATTTTATATGTAAATTAAATCTCAAAATGTGCAATTTTCTGCCATGTTAAATAGCTATTCTTCTATCATGTTTTTCCGTTTAAATTCAGTTGGAGAGCTGGAGGCTTTTAAATGTTTGTTGATGTTGTATGAAAGAGTAAGTACATTTTCCTGAAGAAATTCAAATACGAAGAGATAAGAAATCCTGAGGAATTAAAATACGTGTTGTATTTTAAGATAGTACTTTATTTAGCGATGAAAGAATGTGACTTATGTTTCCTGTCATGTGGGATTTACAAAATCATGTTAATATTCTGAACATTTTATGTCCAAAGAGATTTCATGATGAAAGCATAGGATAGTATAAATGTAATAATATTCTACCTCCTACTGATTGGGAAGAATGAGAAGAAAACAGTAAAACTCACATTACATCTGCATTTAGATTGTGCAGAGATTGTCAACATGTCTATTGTCTATACAATATTTTTGTTTAGTATCTTCATGGAAATTTTTTTTTTCATGTAAATATGTAGCAAGTACTGTAATACGGATGCTTCAGGGCCATCAGTACTGTGGAAATATATTTTGTTTCCTTGGTTTAGGGTTTTAAGTACACAAAATTGGTATTTATCCGTAAAATAGTCACTGGTAAATGGGAATGAATCTCTTGCAAACTGAAGGAGAGTAGTCCTTAGCCAAGCCTCAAGAGTGGTCTTCAGTATTTTGAGGAGCTATCCATTTTCTTACTGATTTTTCTAATGTTTCTTGTTCAGTTCCTTACTGTAGGTGGGTTTTAATTTTTTTACGCTCTCAATGAATTTGTATGCAGGTAACTACTTCCAGTCTGTACTGATTACAGTCTTATAAAGTCAATTATAAGGACCATATGATTACACATCTATAAAGTGTGTAACTTTAAGACAGACCTTTGGAACTGTTTAGCTGTAATGTATTACGTACAGCAGGTGTTTAAATTCTGGGTGCCTTAGGAGATAGGCTTGATGAGTTATTGGAAGGGCTTGAAGAAGTATTCTCCTACATAACATTGAAAAGAACTTTTAAGATGAGCTAAAGACATAAAAGACTTGATTATACCTAGGTGAGGGTGCATAAACATGACTAGCTGTGCAATGTTGCGTACTTCAGGGTTTTTTTCATTACCTTTTCTTTCATGTTTTGCCATATGCGTTTAGATTCTTTGAGGTCGAGTCTCATTTCAGCCTTCTCTATAAAGCGCTTAGCGTAGCTTTGACTATTGATTCAATCCAAAATGCAAATAGCAAGTCATCTTCATCCTGTTTCTATAGACTAATTCAGAAGTTGAGTCTGATTATTTACTACTTTTGTCTTCAAAGAACGCCTTATTTTGTAGAAGTGTTCTGATGATGATTTAACAAATTCTTATGGAAATTCAGGTCTTAGTATAAAATTATAAAACATTAGCATTAGAATTGACAGAAGTAATGACTAAAATTTAAGATATTAATTATTAAGGTGTACAAGTGTGAACTATCTTCCTATGGGTATACCAATCACTATTTGATAACTAAGTAGGAGTAGGTAGCTGACTTGCATTTATATAGGGCGATATGGATGAGGATGGGCAACCTGGTGTAGTGGAGGGTTTCCCTGCCCATGGCAGGGGGGTTGGAACTAGATGATCTTTAAGGTCCCTTCCAACCCTAACCATTCTATGATTCTATGATATCCAGAGACTTCCTCTCAAAGATATCTCTGAATATAAGGAACACTTCTAAGGAATCAATCCTTCATTTTTAAATTCAAACAGGAGTAATCTTTAAAATGTTTTTTAACATTTTAGCACCACTCTGAGGGTGGTGAGGCACTGGAACAGGTTGCCCAGAGAAGTTGAGGATGCCCCATCCCTGGAAGTGTTCAAGGCCAGGGTGGATGAGGCTTTGAGCAACCTGGTGTAGTGGAGGGTTTCCCTGCCCATGGCAGGGGGGTTGGAACTAGATGATCTTTGAGGTCCCTTCCAACCCAAACCGTTCTGTGTTTCTGTGTTTCTGTGATTCTATGATTCTATGATATTATTCCATTGTAGAACATTAAATGGACAATAAGCATTGTCACTTGCATGATAGTATACCCAAGTAGAGTACCTCATTAGTGTTGCGATGTTTCTTACAGTTCTTGATCCGAAAGCCAAGAGTCTTTAGTTATCTTCTAATTTATTACCTTCTCTACTTATTTTTACTGTGGTTTTTTTTTTTTTTTTTTTTAAATCTAGCAACTCAGAACACTTTAAGATTTCTAAAAATAACAGCTATAATTGAATCCTTTCAAGTGCAATCTACCTTGTCATGTACTATGAGAACATTAAATTGGTAGGGTTTTTTATTTACCTACCCTCCCTGCAAATTTACAGCCCAGGCAAAACAGGAAAGAGAAATAGTAAAAAATACAGGCGAGTTTTAATAAGTGTGTAATGTGTGAGACTTTCCAGATATGTATCATGTTTTTGTAAACGATCACCTTCAAAAAAATATTTGTCAAATTCATAGTCTTTTGCAAGGATGGAGCCTGGAAGAAACAGCCTGTATAACCTTAAAAAAGAAGTGAAAGCAGTCATAATAAACATCTGATGTCCTTTAGGCCCATATCACATTTTGTATGAGTACTGGAATCATATTCTTTGCTTAAATAGTCTGAAAGAAGCAGAACATAGTAAATCTGGCAACACTGGCTTTCCAAAACATACTGTGCTAGTTAGAGGACCTTACCGAAGTACTTAAATTTGCACAATTGCAGATACACCATTCCGAAGGCCACCCATTTGTTATAGTGAAGTAACACAGCTTAGTCGAGTGATGACTGGAGAAGTGTCTCTAATGCTTTACATCTAGTTCGGTGAAGTAATTTGTCTCAATGTGGCATAGTCACCTTGGAAACTCCTTGGAGAAGTCTGCTTTCTTAAAATAATGGAAAGTCATTAAGATGTTTCTCTAATACCTTAATTCTTTTGATAAGGGTGTAGATTCAACTGTTAAAAAGTTCAATTCTTTCAGCTCCACCTTTTACTTCTTTTAATTCGTTGTAGACTCTGACTTACCTTGCATAAGCAAAACGTGGTGGTTCTGAGTAGTCACAAGTAGTCATAGTACCATGGATGGCACTAGGAGTTTTAGCACCTGAGGCAAGTGCTTAAAAAATAGGCTTGCACACAGTCCGGTGTGCACACCCTTCCCTATTGGAAGGTGGAATCTGTAAATCATTTTTTCAAAACTTTTAAAAATTTATCTGCTTCTATGAGTGCTTCAGTCTTTTGGGACTGTGACCTAACAGGCCTCAGCATGAATTCTAACAGGACAGATGGAAAGCTTAGGAACTTCGAGACCACTCTGTTCAGAATGACTAATTTTTCTGAAAGGTACTTGCAGCTTTATCTGTTTGGGTTTTTTTTTTAGAATTTTGTGTGCCAAAGAGGTTTCTTTTCTGTATGCCTATATTTCTCTCCAATGATATCATCTGGAGAAGCAGCTTCATTACATAAAACAATCCATCAGGTTCTTACTACTTGCTGTTGAGGTGTTCACTGTGAAACTATGGTGCCAAAACGTAATCATAGAATGGTTTGGGTTGGAAGGGACCTCAAAGATCATCTAGTTCCAACCTCCCTGCCCTGGGCAGGAAAATCCTCCACTACACCAGGTTGCCCAAATCCTCATCCAACCTGGCCTTGAACACCTCCAGGGATGGGGCATCCACAACTTCTCTGGGCAACCTGTTCCAGTACCTCACCACCCTCAATGTAAAGAATTTCTTTCTAGAGTTTGACATATAAAAATTTCGAAGATGAGTGCAAAAAGATGGTTTGCATAAAGAACTGGGAGTTTGTGAGGTGCACTGTTAGAAAGATAACCCCAAAAAGAGACAAGTATCACTGGCGAAATAGACCACTGGCAGAGAGGCTATTCTGAGCTGAAGACAACAAGTGAGGCTAAAATTAGTGTCTGCGAATACAAACTGGAAATTACGCTTCTTTTACGTTCGAGAAGCTGTCTGTCTTCTGCGTTTTCCCTCCCTTCCCAGGATACGTGCTGGAAACATAGTCTGAACAAACCAAAATCACGCAATGCCTCTTGTGCAGACCTGTTTTATGTATTTTTTTTCTGTTTTTTTTACCACAGTTTTTTATTATTATGGGATGTTGTGCCATGTTTTCTTCTTCCTCTTAGTTACCTTAGTAGAAATATTTTTGCATTGAGCAGTGCTGTAAGATATTATTGAACTAAGTGATATCCATGCACGTTGATATCACAGAACTGCTATCACTATAAAGCAGTTTAATTTCTCGTGTTCCTTAGAAGCTAGTGTCCACAAAAAAAAGGAGCAATTTTGCTATTCAGTTTCTCTGTTAATTTGTTCTGTCTTGAATTCTGTTCTGTCCTATAAAGAATAGGTGATTTGTTGTTGTTCAACCCTACGTGCCCTACTGTTTACCAAAAGCCCTCAATGTGATAGCCTTATTACTAATATAATTCTGAATTATTTTAGGCCATGCTAGAGTATCTTTTCAAGAATTACAACTATGCATCTTAACAATTGTTGTTCTGGTCTGGATTTCTCTTCCTGTTCATATGACATTTTTACCCAAATAAGGCTTTTGTGATAGAGCTGGTCATTCTACTACTTACAGCAAAGAAGATGGAGATGCAGGAACTGGTCTGTCCTCTGTTCTTTCTCTTCTTTCTTTGTCCTCCTGTTTGAACGTTTTTATACCTACTGAACTCTAAGCTCCTTTTGTGCAACAATGTAGAAAAAAGTTGAAATTACTTGTGAAAACCTCTGAAGACAAAAGTCAGGCTTCTTTTAAAAGAAATAATTGCATTTGCTTGGAAGTAGGAGCAAAAATTAAATTTTCACATGATAGAATAATGACTGACATAGCAAGGGAAGTAATATATGACGTATTTGCATTGTTTCGAAGCCATAAGTCATCGCAAGAATTTGAGACAACACACTTCTTTCTCTATGATAGGGAAGAGGCAGGTGGAAAAGTTTGTGTTTTCTCTCTTTGAGAAGATTCTATGATGTATATACGTCACTTATTTTCAGGGTACCACTATTTGTCTTTTTTTTTTTTTTCTTTTAGTGTTGGGTCTTTCCTCTCTCTCCCCCTGCCCATGATTCATAGTTCATTGTATCAGGCTGCTATTTATCCAGCTTGCAAAATAACTTGAAGTTCCTAATGATGTCTAATGAAAGTTCTGTCTTTCAAAGTGGTTGTGGCCCATAATAGATAGTAAATGGCTGTTTAAAGCGTCTAAGTGATGCAGCAGAGAAAAGCAAATCCATTCATGTCATGCTAACTTGCTGATCCTCGGTTGTTAAGTTCTGGAATGTGGTCTTTTCCTATTGCTCTACTTCTGCTAAGTTAAGTATTCAAAAGAAACAAGACTCACCTTTATAGCTGTTTTCCCACTTTATTAGAGGAAAAATTATTATTCTTATTATGTAATGCTTATTTTGTCTTTTAAGAGAACTTTGAAAATAATTTTAGTTTCCCTTAAAAAAAAAAATCCATTTAAACATGAATGGTTCAAAAATAGATCAAGTTGCAGTTTGATTTAGGAGAGAGAGGAACTGAAACTCACCAGGATTTAGAGATTCCAGATTAAATGTGAAAAAGTGAAAATCAGATTTTATATATTTATATTCAGAATACTCAAACAACAATAATCAAGTCACTGTTACTTGTATCCATCTTCCTTGGTATTGCATTATTTCCAAGTATTAAAACAGACACCACTGTGCTCTTAAAGAATCTTACATTGTTGATCAATACCTTTTATTATATTAGACTTTTTGTTCGTTTGGGTTAAGGACTAAATAACTTCCATCTAGTTTACATTTAGAAAAGCTAACTCTGTATTTTTATTTTTTATAGATCACAAATAACTTTGTTAATGAAATATAGTACAAATTTATTGTAAATAACCAGTTTTGTTTAGCATTCTAATTTCTCATGTCTCGTAAAATGTTGTATAGGAAGAATTTACAACTTTATTAAAATTGAGATTTTTATACTGAGACATTAAATAGTAGAAAAATTTTGCAGATTTTTATGCCTTTTAAAAAAAATTTGTGATCAGACTTACACAGCTGATACTTTCAGATTTTATTGGTTAACATTCAGAAAGCTCAAAATGCCAAAGTTCATTCCCCGCTTTGCACTTCTGTTTTGCAGGATGTTTGATGTTGGAGGCCAAAGATCAGAGCGGAAGAAGTGGATTCATTGTTTTGAGGGTGTTACAGCAATTATTTTTTGTGTGGCATTAAGTGATTATGACTTAGTCTTGGCTGAAGATGAGGAAATGGCAAGTACCTTCACGTTAAAGAACGGAGTGATTGTTGGATAGAAACTAGATAAGTTTTTTATATAAAGCTATAAATACATCTTTTAGAATATTACTGCTTTAGATAAATAGAATTCATACTTCCAGGTTTCAAAGTATTCCTCTTATTCTCAGAAGGAATACTA